GGCAGAACATGTACAGCAGCTACATAAAGCTGCTTCCTGTGTGTGAGTGCGAGTCATGCTGCACCCTGCTGAGCGTTTCCCCCGATAGCCGTGTTTCCTCCCCGCGAAAGGCCCCATCACGTCTCTCTCTAATGGCTTCCATATGTGAGTGGGGATTCTACACAGTGGTTTTAACAGATCTCTCATGTCCCTGTAATTCGGCCGCTCCAGTGCAGATGACAGATTACACAGGCAGTGGCTGTAAAGATGCTGCTGGTGTGGGTCCTGTACCTGTGGTGACTGGAAAGTTGGTACTGTGCACTGAGTGTGTAGACATTCACTCAATAATGCGATCATAATCAGATTTCTGCAGTTGTCCGATTATTCAAATGGTCATGTGAACACCATACTCCGATCTAGAAATCCGATTAAGATATCTCATAAAGAGGCTGGACTTCTCAGTAATCAGATTTCTCAGTGCATGTAAACTCTTACTCTGTTTTCTATCGGGTTTCTCAGTCCGCGCATGCGCAAGATCAGACAGTGGATGTTGCGAGACGCAGCAAAACACCGTTGGAGCGGCGCTGAAACCAAACACGAAATAACGGATATGAATATTCTTCATCTTCTAGATGATGTATGTTCATATTTTCAGGTAAAGCAGCGCGATGCTTTAAAAAAAACACGTTATGAAATTTGAGTTTTACGTTACGTCTTCTTTTGTGAGTTTATTGGCTGGTTGCAAAGCAGAAATCTGATTACTGTCTGACTCATGTAGACCCGGAGTTTCCCATTATCTGGTTACTCAAGAGCATGTAAACGTGTTGATCAGATTACAGACAAAATCTGATTTTCTGCAATTATCAGATTATTGTATATATGTATTTGCACTTACTGTCGTAAGAAGTTAGAGCTCTGAAACTGTGCATGGTGTGTGCATAAAAGACATTTATATCTTCTACGCACACACCATGTGACATTTGTCCAGCACGAACATTTCAAGGAACAGTTTGACGAAAAATCAACTGCACTGAAAAATGCCGACGTGTTTGGTGTCTTGCAAGTTTTGTACTGAACCTATCAAGCTAATGTAGCCTAACAAGTAAAGTTTATATCTGACCAGTTAGTATCAGGAAACTGCAAACCTACATCAGCACACATTTGCCTCACACCTGCTAAGTAATCTTCAACAGACACAACAGATCTTATAGAAAAGGTGAATATTCATGGCACTTTTCATTGAGGCAAAAGCTTATAGTGCAGCCGGGCTGTGAACTCAAAACCTCTAATCAAGGTTTTAAGCAATAAAGGTTGTTTAACTCTATTAAGAGCACCTTAATAGTTAAACAAGCTTTTTCTCAAACTTTTTCTCAAACTTTTAACCCCCACCCCACAAAGCACTGTTTATTTACTTTCCCTGCCAGTAGCACTCAATGTTTGTATTTTTTAAAAAGGCTTTTCTGACATATTTTCTGACATTCTAATTATGGGAAATGACAATATTTAGTTGTCAGGTTCTTAAATTGTGAAGTTGCATCACAGAGTATATCATATTGCAGTGCAGAACAGTGTACAAAGCACAATAAAAATCAATGTACTAGGAAACTTGGTCCTGTTTTGTCCGTCTCAACTTAACAAACCTCAGAAACACTTAACATTGTGATACACATTGTGTATCCTGAAGAATTGTGAGATTGTATTTTTGACAAATCGGCCATCCTTAGCCTGAATTATTTCTGTATTTGTTTCCAGGGGTTCTCAACCTTTTCCACCCCAGGGCCCACCTGTGTATACCTACGAAGCATAGCGTCCCACAAGAAAACTGTGATCAACTTTTTTAAATACAGCTTTATTTTTATTTTCTTAAGTGCTGACACTGAAAATCTCAGAATTGGTGCCTGAAAACGATTTGATCGGCCATTCTGTTGTCAGTAGGTTTGCAAAGGTTGAAGGTATGATTAAAAAAAAAAACATTAAACTTGTTAAAAAGGGAGGAAAAAAGAAAAAAAGTGCATTGTCTCTAACAGATGACAATTAATTAGCCCACTACTGTGACGTTATTTGTACGTCTCTATAAATATTTATATTGGTCATAATGTAAAATTTAATTTATAGATTTAAGTGTAAATCTAGTTTAATTTATAAGTTTAATTTATAAATTTTTAGTTATTAAGTTAAACTTTTTCCCCACTTACGTTTTTATGACTTACAGTGACGTTACCAGCCCACTACGAATTACTGCCTCCCTCTGAGTGCCGGCCTGCAGACCACTAGAGGGTGCTTCACGGCCCACTGCTGGTCCGCGGCCCACAGGTTGAGAAACCCTGTTTGTGTCCATTAGCTCCAACACAAAACTGAAGAAGCAAACTTTATACACCACACCTTGGAACAATTGTTTAAATGAGATTTTTTGCATAGTTTTTTGTTAGCGCTGATGCTATATGTAAGCAGTGCCCACTTCACTGATGAGTATTTACACGCCGCAGGTTCTGGTGTAAACCACAGAGCCAGGAACACATTTCTCAGAGTTAGAGCAGATCAGAAGAGCCAGACGGCAGGTTGTGTTGAGTTGTAGTCCATGACAAAGTGGAGCCATGTTTCAGCCGACGGAGTCAGAGATTTAGCTCTTAGCAAACTGCCATGGAAGCAAGATATATTCTCCTAAATGATCTACCAAGAACGTTTTCTGCGTTTGCTGAAACAGCACAGGTGCAATTACACACAGTATACTGCATTTTTTTCTGTTCATGTAGACTTTTGGTTAATGACAGCCAGCTTATTCAAACATTACGCATTTCATCGCTCCAGCTGTTTGAGAGCTTTTCATTAAGTGGTTTGTGGGGCGACGTCTGCGGAGAGAGAGGGAAGGTGGGTGGGTGAAAAAGAGAGCGAGACGGTTTTTTCATTTTACAAATACCATTATGCTAATGGTAAGGTACTTAGCTAATGTTACTATCCCAGCCTCTTTCAGCTCAAAAGCAGCCAGTTTGTGAAGAGGTACAGGGAGATTCACTCAAAAGAGGCCCCGAATATTCTGTAGTAACTCTCTCTAGGATGAAACAATCTGGACGAAACAACATGCAATGAGCTCCTCAGTATATGGAGCATCGAACAAGCTGGGATGTCCCTACATAGGAGCAATGAGGTAGGCACCAGACAGCCGTCGCAATGCTTAACCTCCGTTTGCAACTTTCAGGTGCATACCCCCGAACCCCTTCACTCAGTCTCTCGACTTCTCATCAGGATGGTGGTGTACAGTATTGAGCAGTAGTATTCATGGTGCGAACCCATTGGGTCGCCAATTCATTTAAGCGACGTCAGAGTGAATGTAGGAAAAAATATGGTGTTTTGTTATGGTGACGCACCCTCAAAGAGTGTTATTCAGAAGATGGTACGGAAACTGGAAACGACGGGATCATTGATCCCTTCTCATGGTGGGGGCCGTCCGAAAATGTAATCGATTACACATACGTCAGGGTATGTAGCGTATTTTCTTGGTTCAGATTGCTTCATCCTAACAAGGGTTACAACAGAATATTCGGGGCCTCTTTCGAGTGAATCTCCCTGTAGTAAACTGATACCAAGCGTGATAAAGCTAATGAATGTCACATTATCCTTGGTGAGCTTATGCATATGTGCCCCCCCACCGTGTTGTGTAGCTCCGGTAGGCTGTGTCGGAAAAATAACGATGACTGGATATGATGTAACGTGGCTCAAGATGTTCAAGCAGCCGTCAAAACCCAACATCCTCCACAACAGAGAACGACTGGCAAATTACGTTTGTATTTTTATTGCTAAAATACCCTTATTAACCTTTCAGAGAAACGTTCATGACCCTTTTTTTGTAGTAGAAAGTTTTTTTTTAGAATTGCATGACAAACTGCAATATTCCACCCTTCCTTTTAGAGTAATCTGCAGGGAAGTTCATACTTTTTAAGGTTTTGTAGTATAAGAATAAACATACGATAAGGCAGCACTGTTTAATGCAAAAACTTTTGCTTTATAAGCACTTTTTGGTCACCAAATTACAACTGCGAGTCTTATTGAGCACCAATACAGCAGCGCCCCTCATCTCACACTGGGGCTGAATCTCAAACGGCTCCCTGCTCCCTACATAGTGCACTACGTAGGAGTTTAAATACTGGATCCTGCAGCCCAACAGAGCAAAATACAGCTAAGAAACAGTCATTTGGGACTCATCCACACTCCATAAATGATGCACTGTTTGGCTGTAGAGGCTAGAATTTCTAAACTTTCGTAGCTAGCTCACTATATAGAGAGTACGGAGCTGTTTGTGATTCAGTCTGGGTTTGACGCGACTTCTGACTGAAATATGTCTGAACTGTGGGCTGGACAGTACTCTGTTCTGAGAACACCAGCAGCGCCTCTGTTTGATTGTAACTCTTTCTTCTTCTTGTCAGTTTCCTTTTCTCAGTGAGGCTTCATGACAACAAAACATCCTCTCAGACCCATAGTGTTGAGTCGTCTTCTCACAGTGGAAGGATGAACAGAAAGACCTTTGGATTTTTTCAGATCTGAAGCAAAAGTGGATTTTGATTTTCCCTCAAAGATGAAAGCTTTAAGTGCTGTTTATCTGATGGTGAAAGTTTTGGTGGTCTACCACCAGTTTTGGTGGTCTACTTGTATAGTTGTTAGGAGTCTTGTTTTCTCTAGATCTTTTTTTTTCCCACTTATTTTTCACTTTTTTTCTTTTCCCATTCCTTTTGTCTAATTTCCTCAGAAATATGTTGAGAAAAATGAAAGACTTGTACTTGATGGAGTTTTTGTCTGAAAATAAATGACGTTCGCTGTCTGGCATTTTTACAGTACTGTATGTGCATCTTTATTTTCCTGGTATCAGTTAGAGGAAAAAAGTCTACATTCTGTCTTCTGTTTTCACTGGAATGTGTGTTGGGGTCAGTGTATTTATGTGTGTGTGGATGTGTGTGTGTGTCTGTGTGTGTGTGTGCGTAAAGAAATAAAGAAATCTCAAAAAAAAATCTTGGTTCACTGTTTTTCAGAAATCGAAGCAAAGGAGGCATGCGATTGGCTGAGGGCAGCAGGATTCCCACAATATGCCCAACTCTACGAGGGTAAGTGTGGATGATGTGTATCTAAACACTCACACACACTCACAGGAACACCACAGGACTTACTAAGAATGTACGACTCCAGCTTATTTGGCATCAAACACAGAATTGACACAAACCGTCATAAGGAAGGGGAGAGGAGGAAGAGGGGAGACATCCTGCATGCCAACTCATCTACTCTCAGGACAGTGCTGTACAGTATGCTCTCTTTCTCTGGTTCCTCCCGTCACACTGGTTGCCAGATATGTGTGACCCTCCCTGCTCCATCAGCCAGTTGGAACAGTCCGACGGCTGCATTGACACAGCTGTGCGCTCTCAGTTTGAAGTCTGCAGGGTTTTTTCCACTCTTCGGTCCATTCTAGGGCCACGCAGAGCTATTTCCAGCCTAGAGTTACTGTCCAAGGGGAGCGGGGGGTCATGGGAAAAAGGCTCTGCTATCGTTAGCTGGAAAACTTGCTAGCTGGCCTTTCCCTCAGTCTTTCCTCAAAAGAGTCGGAAGGGTTCTCTCTCTCTCTCTCTCTCTCTCTCTCTCTCTCTCTCTCTCTCTCTCTCTCTCTCTCTCTCTCTTTCTCTCTCACTCTCTCTCCCTCTCTCTCCCCCCCTGCATCCTCCCCTCCTGCTTCTCTTCATGACCCCTCCTTATGGCAGTTTGCGTCAGTCTTACACTTAATGCCAAGTAAACTGGGATTGCATAGTTAAACTCTCATGAGAAAATAATGGAAAACAATGAGCTGTTTATACATTTTGAGTCATCAGGCAAATATGATGATACCTAATGGGGCTGTTTCTGACTGGACATGGATTAAGTCTGCTACTGGACAAAAGCACACTGAAATATGTGGGGTTGAGAATCACTAGAGGGCCCACGATACAGTACTATCACCATGCAGTATAGTTCTGTTGTGATTTAGTGCTATGCGGCAATTGGATTCATTATTTTATCTGCAAATAATGTTCACTTCTCTCGTCACTTCGCTAACACTGTCACGTTTGTAAGAATCTGTAAACACATTTATAAGATGTTAGAATGCATAAGGCATTATAAACATGGTTATAAATACTTATAAATATGAATTACACTGAATTACACTGTATAGCCATGTTTATTATACATTATGAATTGTTAATATAATGCATTATAAGTAGTGTTAATAACATGTTATACTGTCAGTACCAAAAAAGTCAGTCCCAGCTTGGAGAGCATAAAGTAAAGACAAATGCAAAGTTTATTTACTCCCTGAGATTTCCAGTATGTTATTTCTCAGTGCTGGTGCTGTTAGAGCTGCGGGGCTTCAGTCCTGAATATTCAGATGCTCCAAACTGGCTGTCCAGCCTAGAGTTACTGCTACAGTGAGCTTTTCTTACCCAGCGCTTTCACTTTAAACACTGCATTACATCACAGCAAACCAAGGTCCCATCAGCCCCTCCCCTGAACCCCCTCTGACATCACACTGAGCGTGAAGTCACTGTGGAGTGAAGGCCTGGAGAGGGAGAGGTGAGATAGTAGAGTGCAGTCATTGTAATTTGTTCCCTCACTGGTTCTAATGTCAAGCGCTAGAACCCTTCACTCTGTAACATCCCTATACTACAGTACAGTAATGCTAATTTCTTCTAGCATTCTATTGGATATGCAGTGTTAAGTTAGCGCTGAGCTAACGGTGGTGTACATTGACTTTCCCACATTGGGTAAAACACTGATGCAGCACTAGTTTAAACTCTGACATTTGAAGCCTGTAATGTGCTTTACTGTGAATGTTTTAGTGTTTCAGTAAATCCTTCAGTAAATACTTCAACTTGTAGCCTCACTCTGAACACTGGAGGAGGCTTTAGTACAGTACGCTTCACTTTACTTAGAGCGGACAAATACGACTTACGAGCTCTTATAATTTGTTATGATCAGTACTTATAATGCATTATGTTAACAATTCATAATGCATAATAAGCATGGCTGTAATATGTAATGCAAATATTTATAGCCATGTTTATGATGCCTTATGAATGCATTGTAACATGTTATGAATGTGTTTATAGATGCTTACAAACGTGACATTCATAGAAAATGTTACCGAAACTTCTTACATTTCCATATTCAGCAGATGAACCTATCCGGACCAGTTTAAAAGGGGAGGTTAATGTAGCACTGCGAGGAGTCCAAACTATTGCTAAAGTAATGGCACCCATACCTGTCCAGGGAATTGAACCCTGCTTTGCAGTGTGCTACTCAACCATTCCTACACTACTCATGTAAGCCTTGGGCTCACCAAGAAAAAGACTCTGGCGGAATCTTGTGGGCTAAAATATATCAATACTTTGGCCTTTTTTCACTCAAAGCTTTTAGTTCTACCAGTTTGTGCCAAATAACTTAATTGTTTGCTTTTTTGAAACAAGTGAAATGGATTGGGTCACTGATTGAACATATTTTAATTGCAGAAATAGTGAAAATGACAATATGAATTGTCTGTTTAGTTTTGCAGTGGAGCTACAAAACTAATGTTGCTAATAAAAGCTTGAAACCCACTTGTGTAAACAGCGTGACTGAATCATAACACACTTGCCTCAAACCGTGTTGAGTTGTTAAGTAATATCAAATAGACTTGTTTGTTTGTCAACAGTAAGGTTTCAGGATGGTTGCTGCTACTCTTAAGCTATGCTGTTGTTCGTTTTGACACATTATCCTCATATTTCCAGTGCAAAGCTAAAGAAGCAAACTTCAGACACCAAACATGTCTCGGCTGATTCAGTACATTTGGGCTAAGGGACATTTTATTTCTGAACTGTTCTTTTACACAAGACAGCTTGGTAATCTGGGTGCTTTCTTCTACAGATTCCCAGTTTCCCATTGACATATCTGCTGTCAAAAAGGACCATGACTTCCTCGACAAAGATCTGGTGGAGCCCCTGTGCCGGTAAGAGAGTGGAATTTTGAGAAGTTAAGTGACCCTTATTAGTCCAACAACAGGGTATTTCACTTCTGCATTTTAACCCATCCGTGCAGTGAAACACCACATACACACTAGTGAACACACACACTAGGGGGCAGTGAGCACACTTGCCCGGAGCAGTGGGCAGCCCTATCCACAGCGCCCGGGGAGCAGTTGGGGGTTAGGTGTCTTGCTCAAGGGTACTTCAGTCACGTACTGTTGGCTGTGGGGATCAATCCGGCTACCTTCCAGTCACAGGGCTGGTTCCCTAAGCTCCAACCCATGACTGAGTATGTACATGCCCATTTAAAATGATAGCTCTCTAATCTTAACTATATATTTTCCAAATACAAAGTGCTCATGCATCCCTAGAAGAATAATGGTACATGTCCACTTGCACTTTTACTTGCCTCATTTCAGTGTACCAGGTTTCTCTGCTTGCTGTTGGTGAGGGGTTATTATGTCATATTTGTTATGGAAATGAAGGAACCATATCAACCATATCTGGGACAGTTTTGTATTTGTTTTAATGTAACACAAAAGCTTGCGGTGAGAATGAAATACAGACTTATGCTTTTAAGCTCTAGCAGTTTTCGGAATGCGTCAGTCCTGTACAAAAGTTTAAAAGAATAGAAAATAGTAAAATTACTTGCCCATGGAACTCGTTAAAACGTCTAACGTGGTGTTTTTTCATGTTTAGAGGACAGCATGGGTAATGTTTGTTTTAATGTTTGCACTGTGTTTGCCAGCAGGATTATTGTTTTTTTGTTTACATTTTCACCCTAAAGCACAAGTGTAGCCTTGCTTGACTCTACACATCATTATTTAATAAAGCATTAATTGCAGTTATTTACATGACAGTTCATTTCCAGCTAAAATTTAATGATTGACAGTTCAATTTCATTGTTGTGTAAGCGTTATTTTTTGTTTCCACTGTGTTGCATTTTGTTTGCAGTCTTTTTTTGCATTAGGAATAAAAAATTCTAATTCCTAATTCCATTAGAAATGCATCAGTATTCAAAGAGAAAGTATGACAGAGGGAATGGCTGACCTGTATGAATGTGAAAGTGGTCAGGAAAGCCTGTACTGGCCCTGTAGTGGCGCTGGGCCAGTGGCAACCCCACCTCTGGAGCTGTCTGACCCGTGTCCTCCATAAAGTGTGTCTGTCTCCGCCGCTTTGATCCCTAATGTTTCCCCTCTGGAGCCCACTCTGATGTCCCTCTCACAGGCCGGAGGGAGCCTTAGGGGGCCAGGGCCTGGCGCTAGACACTAACAGATGGCTGTGTGTGTGTTGCGTGAGTGAGTAGCAGCCGTGAGGATTTCTAGCAGGTTGTCTCTTCTTTAATGACAGTAATGACAGCGTTAGTGACATCTGAAAGCTTTACTGCCACAGAATACACACACCTCTTCAGAACTGCAGTCTGCAGACGTTAAAATGGAAACGTGAGCATGTGCGACCGCAGCACACCAGCGCAAACACCCTGATTTTCTTCATAATTGCAGCAGTCTGGGCCCCTGATGTTTAATAAGGCCAGAATGCAGCCATCAAGTGCACGGCCAGGTAGAGAAAATGAGTATGGAGTTGTGCCGTCGGTGCTTAGATGCATGGAGAGTTAATAGAAGTGCACTGATTAAACCGGCACATGTCACGAGCTGTGAATGTTTGAGGGATGAGGTGCCAGCAGTCGTTTAGAGTCAAAAAACAAGTCTGTGACTTTTACAGAAAGGGTCTGTGGTATATAATGAAGGGTTTTGTGTGAGCGTGCGCGTGAGTGTTTGTAAGCAAGGAATCTTTATTTACATAGCCCTTTTCTAAACCAGGGTTACAAACGTTACAAATAAAAGGGAAAAATAAATACAGACAGAAACACACAGTACTCTCTGAATACAGCCCACAAATAAAGTAAAACCACAGGAACATAAACGCAAATAAAACACATATACTGCTGGACTCACCCTTTAAATCCCTGTTTAGATGCCATTTTAGATGTGTCCAGAATGATGACCAGAGCTGTAGGTGATTCCTTAATGACTGTAAAGGTGTTTGACATCAGGAATGAAGTTATAATAGTATGCAGAATACCTTGTCTTTGAAAAGGTAACTTACACTTACATTTACAGTATTTAGAAGATGCTTTTATCCAGAGCAACTTACAAAAAGTGCTTTGTCTATCTAGAGAAAGTATCTTTGCTAGTTACCAATAGGTTGGAGAGAAAGACAGTCCTGAGCTCAGATACTGCTAGAAACAGCAGTCCATGTTGATACCCAGAGAAAAAGAAACAGAGTTAAAACACGGTGCAGTACAATACATTTCAATAAGTGCAGAACAGTACATTACAATGAATACTAAACTCAGTGCTCATTTAAGTGCTGTATACAGAGACGGTCTTCAGTCTGTGTTTGAAGACCGCGGGAGACTCTGCTGTTCGGACAGCCAATGGGAGTTCGTTCCACCACCTGGGTGCCAGTACAGAGAAAAGAACTTGTCAAGAAATTACTGTACATAGATAAATACAGTATATTATTTATCTTTTAATAACCTTTTTGTCTTCTCATAAACTTAAAACATCTTAAAATACCTTCAGGTGTCCAGCTTTCAGTATTCCAGTCTGCACTATGTGAGATATTAATGAATAAAATAGCTCTAATTATTACTATGATTCCAAAGATTTGAACAGTACAGTATCAAATATGCCAAACATGGTCAAAAATAATAAAAGCCATTACTATCAAGTACTTCTCACTCGTCACTGAAACAAACTGCCAAATTCTGTTTAAAGTGCAGATTCAGAACTTTCAGTCAAGATCAGATTTGTATGTAAGGAGCAGAGTAGATATTTTATTATGATTTCAGTTTAACCATGTTACTGCTGTCCATTGTCTTCCAGAAACATGAAACATTCTTTACAGTTTTTTTTTTTATGTTAGTTGTCAAAACAAAATAAACGAAGTCTAAACTCTAATTTGTTAATATAGAATTCAGAATTATTGTTATTGAATTGCACTGCATAACCCATGAATTTAAACTTAAAACATTGTATCTCGTTGTCGCTGGTATAGTTTTTCATTTTTTGCACAGCTTAAAGTTTCATGATAAACAGCCCAACAGAAATGGTCCAGAATTACACTGAACCTCAGGTGTTGTTGCTTTAACTTCCAGAAGTTAAGGATGTTTTTAGTCTCCAGTAAAGGTCCCATTTTGGAGATGAGGTATTGTCCCAACAGCGACGATATGCAGTTGCGTAATTACTCTCAAATAGTATAGAAAAACAGAAGTAATTACTCTCTACTTGTAAGGGTTAGAGCGGTTGTATGTGTTGGGGGTGGACAGCACTGCTCCTGGGGTGAAGATCAGTCAGATTAGAATGTTAAAGGCTGCTTAAGGGTGACTTCAAAGAGGAGGAAGAGAAGGATCCAGCAGCCCCTCCCCACTATCCAAGCACACGCTCTGAACGGTCACTCGCCTTTCTGACCTCATCTGAAAGAGCGCGGGACTCCAGCCTAACCTGCGCCACCCTCACTCACTCTGTCAGCCAATCACATTTCTGTACCTGAGCGTGGGAGGGGCTAACTGAGGGTCAAGTGACTTTGAGTGTCTTGATGTCCTGTAGTGCGCATCTCTTTCCCCCCACTCTCTGCTTGGATTCTACTCTGTGGAGAGATGGGTTTTGACCAGTGCTTCAGCGAATTACTTTTGGGCTCTAAATCTTGACTTCTTTTCTCCTTTCCAGGCGGCTCAACACTCTGAACAAGTGTGCCTCCATGAAACTGGACGTAGGCTTCCCCAAGAAGAGAGTGAGTTACCAGCTTTTTATACCTTTGCCATAAAAAGGTTCTTTTCCTCAGTCTGTATTTGGGCAGTTGAGTTATTCTTCTATATTTCAGATGTGTTTATTATCAGTTTTATTGCAGTGAGGTTTAACTGGCTAATTAACTCACTAGTTCTCTAGACTGACAAGTCAAAACAGATCCACAGTCCAGTAGCAGTGACAGAGGGTCTCATTCATGGGGTCATGTATCCTCAGACTCACCTCACTGTGGAATATATGTGTGGAGTGAAGGAAGTGTCAGTTTCATCCACATTGCCTTGCTACACTGGTCCATTTTCAAAAGGTCCTGTTTGTTATCATCATGCCGTTTCCCTTGGGCTGTTGCGTTAGCTCCTACTGACAGCCCAGGGAGTGAGAGTAATCCCGAGGAACTGCTCTCCTGAATGCATCCTGACAGTAGGTGGAAATATATCCGTCTCACTGGTTTGTTTGCGAATATCTGAGATTCTTCCATTGTTGTGTCTTCAGAAATGTCGGCAAATACGGCTGCAGGGTGTTATGCACATTTCTCAAATGCCGTTTTTCTCTTTTGATATTGTTCAGTAATTTCTTGCGTTTTAGATACGACTGTTTTGAAGGAATTTGTCCTCTTGTTTGATGATATTCGCTGAAGGTTTTGGCAAAATTTCTCACAGCTGTTTCCTGTGCTGTGAGATGCCAAGGAGTTTTGAGTCTGAGCTTTATCAGCTTTAGCGTTTATTAGAACCATCTGTTGGCTTGTGGCAGACTATTCAAATGAGTGGACCATGATAGGTGTAGACTCATCACACAAATGTGGACAAATTTGTCTACATCTAATAAAGCCGGAGGATAAAATACCATTAAATTCAGGTTTTCATGATTGCAAACACACACACACACACACACACACACACACACACACACATGCACGTAAACACAAACCTCAGTTGTCTTGTGAAACGTTTGAGTGTTGGTAGAACCTGTTGGCACATCCACCCCACCCTTCCTCTCTCTCATGGCTCATCCACCCACAGATCAGTTTCATAGTACGTATTGAGTAATTTATAGTAGTTACTCAATAAGAAATGTTAAGATTAATATCTGAATTATGAGATCAAAGTTTAAGGAGTTAAGAAAAGAAAATAGAGAAAGAAAAGGGGGGGTTTAACACAGATGTTTTCCTTTTGCCAAGTCTATCAGCTTCTTCTGTTGAGAGGTGTTGTAGCTTACCTATTAAAATCTAAGAGCCCAGCAAACCGAATGTCAGACAATGGACTCCACCAGAGGTGGTTGGTATAGTGTAGTGGGTAACAACTCTGCCTTCCAGACTGGGGTTCGAAAGACACTACACTATACCGAGTCCTTGGGCAAGAAAAATCATGATCAAATTGTAAGTTGCTCTGGAGAAGAGCGTCCACCAAATGCTGTAAATGTAAATGACTCTATCTACCATCCCTGCCCCATTTCCACAAGCTTCTACACCGCTCTCTTCCCATCCCCACTTTACTCAGTAATACCCACCAGTGTCCCCACACCAACCGTACGCCCAACATTTGACATAGCAGCATATAAATATTACAGTACAACTGAAACACAAATATTAGTCCTTACAGTACCTCTTTAAAATAAGACTGCCCTTATAAAGGGATTATGAAAGGTTAAAACATTAATCATTAACTTTAATCATTAATAAACAGTTATAACACATTATTAAAAAGAGCAGTAGTGAGCTGTTATATCTGATGAATACAAATATGTGATTAAGCTGACAGGTTTAATGCTGACAGATGAAAAAGACAAAGTAAAATCAGTAGGTCTGAGGTTTAACAGTATAAATGATTCGTTCACTATGTGGCAAACAACAGACCACTGTGGCCCTTTCTACTTCTGTGTTGTAAATGCTTATTAATGATTTTAAGGTCTTTATCACCTAATTAATAACCATTAATAAACTCATTTTAAACCATTCATGAAGTCTTTATAAAGGTGGTCTTATTTTAAAGTGGTACTGTCCTTACACCTGTGATCATTTTTCTTTTGCCAGACTTTATTATCTAGAATAAGAGATACATATTAGATTTTTTCTTGATGACATTTTCCTCTGAAAGATAGCAGCCATGCATCTTAAGTCAACAGATAATTTCCACTAGTTTAAAAGTGAACTGTGTGAATATAATCTTGTTAATACGCGTTTGATGTGAACAAAGATTTCACTTTCACTTTGTGGCTTATTATTCAGACCAATTAACTCATTTTACACAGCAGGTGAAATGACTCACCTTTGAGCATCGGTTTTGTTCATTCTGCTCTCTGTGCACAGCTGATGGTGAGGTTTACTTAACAGACGAATCCAAACCTGATGTTTTTAAAGTTGTTTTTGCTTTTGTCATGGGTAAAAAAACAACTGCCAGTCTGTCACATTTGACCACATCTGGAGGTTTACATTCAAAATGTATGTACACAGGAAACACTGGCCAAAGAATTAAAACTTTAAAATAGGTAAACAGGTAATGGGGATGAGCAATTTAACTACTTTTGCTATTCCTAATTTTTATTCAAACAGTATGTGAATGTTGTATTCCCGATGAGAAAATGTAATATTGTTATGAATGATAGATTGGTGAGATGATGGAAGATGGTCGTTAGTCGGCCTTAGTCGTCAGCTTGGTGCATCTGGGCCCTTAGGACTGGTGGAGGCTCATCAATTCCATACCCTCATAACTGTGTACCTAGATATTAGTTTCAAATTAGGTACTGAGTAATAACCATGGAGTTTATGGGGTTAACCCCTGATGCGTTCGTCTCTTGCAGAGTGAGGACTCGGATGAGGACGACCTGCTGGCCATCAGCAACAGATGGACATTTGAGCGGAGCAGCCGCCGCTGGTCTCGCCTGCGGGACATCGACCTAATCCTGGGGGGAGCAGATGGGCGGAGCCCCTCACAGGGCCCCGGCCTACGGACAACAGTGAGCAGCGAGAGCGTCCTGACCGACCTGAGCGAGCCAGAGATCTGCTCCCTGCACAGTGAAGACTCTCTGTCCATCATGCCTGACTCCGTCTCCCTCGCCCACCTGGGCATACCCCGAGACCTGCCTCACTACGGCTCACTCCCTGCCAAAAGCGGGCGGCGTGGGCGCACACGTGCCAAGGACTTCCTACGGCGGATGGAGACGCTGGGGCGCTCGTGGGGGCCCTCGCTAGGGCGTCCAGAGCGCCGATCAATGGCTATCAGTGGGCCAGTCCTGCAGAGTCAGCCGGAAGCTCTCAAAACACTGCGCTGTGTCCCAATAGTCAACGGAGAGCCATTAAGTACTGAAAAGTCTCCAACTGCTGGCAGTTGCTCACCCATGCTTGCTAGCAGTGAAGAGACTAGCCAATCAGAGACCAGTGGTTGCACTGGGACTGAACTGAAGGAACATGTGCCCAAACTCCACAGTGCCAGCAAGCGGGCAGGGGTATACCTAGATGACCTGGACGTGCTGTCTGGGGTCCCACAAAGGAGGAGGCCTGTAGAGCAGAGTCGGAGGAACGAGTTTCGCTCCTATGAGGACCTGGTGGTTCACATCCCAAAGGACCACAAGCCAGGCACCTTCCCCAAGGCGCTGTCCATTGAGAGCCTGTACCCTGCAAGTGGAGACGCTGGGAACTGGAGAGTTCAGGAGCCGGAACGGCTGCGGCAGCCACGGGCTGGGAAGGGCACAGGCCTGAGAGAGCAGCGGCCTGTGACTCGCTGCTGCCCACGGGGTAGCCGGATCAGCGTGTACGACAACGTGCCTGGTTCGCACCTATATGCCAGCACTGGAGACCTGATGGACCTGGAGAAGGAGGATCTCTTCCCACACTTGGATGACATCCTGCAACATGTGAACGGCCTGCAGCAGATCGTGGATCACTGGTCCAAAAATGTCCTGCTTGAAGGTGAATGCGAGGGTGATGGGGGGATGACGGATGCTCAGTCATCTAGTCAGATCACGCTGGATTTTGAAGGGACCTCGGTGACCACACCCAGTGACGGAGACAGGGACGGTGTGTCTCTGAATGATACAGACACTTCCAGCACCAGAGAGCGGCGGGACTCAGGAGTGGGGGCATCACTGACACGACCTCGGTAGGAGCTTGTGCCATTTTAGTTAGCTAACTAGAGCAGAAGCATCCAATCCTGCTCTGGAGATCTAATCTCTTGCAAAAGCCTCTTTACCACTGTAGAGCCGTTGCTGAGGCATTGCTACCTAGACACAGTTTGGCATCGAACACTTGCGAAAAATACCTAGCCTGGTTAACTTGGCAATGGGTCATTCTACAGAAATGTCCATTTTTGTATCCCTAACATTTACAGATATAGTACACTTAAAAAACAAGTTAGGGTTACAATTTATTTATATTTTAAAATAAAACAGTAAGTTATTCTAACAGTTACACCTTCTTGAGACGTCAATTTAGCAATATTGGTTTTTAAATCAATTATCTTGAATTCCAAGCACCTCAGAAGAGCTCGTCCCCACAGTCGTGTGTGAAGGCTGAGGCCATATTTTGGAAAAAAAAATGTTTTTCTGCAATTTTAACTGCAAAAATCTATACGTGACCATTGAATATATAAATTAAATTACATAAAGAAAACAAATGCCAAAAAAATTATAAAATATATAATGAAAGTGAATAAAAATCACACTGATGACATCACTTGACTTCCTTTTACCTATTTTCTGAGGATCTATGAAGAAAAGCACATGGTGAGTCCACTGTGTCTTTTCAGTTCTGAGTAATTTTCCCCATTTAGCTGATGATTTCATATAAAGCGTTTAGCTGAAGTCACTGGTGTGACCGACTTTATTCTTAGGCAATTGTAAAAAAATAGAATACAAATGGATTAAATTACATATTTTAGTGGATATTCCATGATTGACAACATGCGGTTTGATTTTTTTTTTTTTTGTAAAACGCATTTTTCAATAAAAATGTCTCTGGTGTTACTTTTCTTATGTGTAACACCAGAGACACCTATGGAGAGATAGAAAAGTGGATGTTTCTGTAGAAAATGACCCCACTGTTAGATAATTGTGCTTAGTGTAGTAGCAGAACCATTCAGATGGGATAGGTAGGTATTCAGGGATTGGTTTTACGTAACGTCTCTTTTTAATGCCTTATCTGAGCACAGACAACAACTACAGCATATTTGGTACATACAGATGATGGGATTTGTTAGACCTGATTTTGCCTCATTTTACAGAAGATGGAAAAAACAACTGTTCATACAAGTTTGCACCCGCTCAAACCAGCACACCATGGCCGTGGTAACCATCAGGTCTTATAGTGTAAAAAAGGCTGAAGTTAACTTTCAATCCTGAATTTAACCCACCTCCATCTAATGTTAACACGTTCCTGACCTTTCAGAGTAGAGCAGCTGTGTTACATTAGGACCAGAACTAAACTCGCCAGTGTGTAGAACCTTAAACCCTGCCTCTGAAGTTAGCTGTGCCTTCCCTTCACACATTAGCAGTGACCAAAGCTGTTCTATCTGCAAACTGATAGGACAGAACAGAGGATAGCCCACCATTGCCATACCAAACATATGTTTTTCTCTGTATATGCTTTAATAGGTGATGTTACAGTTGCATTTTTTCAGTCTCCATGGCCATATTATGATTATTGTAATACTTACAACATTGTTGATACCTAATTTAAAACTAGTTTATGTTATAGTTTTCAGATCAGATTTGGATACAAGCTTTTGCATGACTATGCGTTCTTTATAGGATACATCATCATAGTATGCATAATGAAGTCATATTATTTTACATACATTTAAATGAATGAATATTCATATCTTGGTTTTTAACTTCAGCCTCAGGTGGCCCAGCTTCAGGATGTCCAATCGCCTCAGCCAATCAGGAGCCTCGTTACAAATCTCCAGCCAGTCGGCAGGCCAGCTCAGCCTGTTGCAGAAGTTCTCATTGCTGCGCTTGACAGCTATCATGGAGAAATACTCTATGTCCAACAAACATGGCTGGACCTGGTGAGTGATATTTAGATTCCAGTGCAAAAACATCTGCAGTAGCTCATGTGTGTCCCTCTAGCACCCATGTGTCAAAACAAGGCCCGCGGGCCAGATCAGGCCCGCCACACAATCCTATCCGGCCCGCAAAAGTATTTTAGTTTTCTATTAATATTAGCCCGTTTTACAGTGTGCTGCACTACAGTCCCCACCATGCACTGCAGCATAATGTGCTCCGACTCTCCTACCCCAACAGCAATCTATGGGACAGCAGTTACACCTCAATTCTACACAATTTTGCACAAATCCACACCAGTGACATTATCAAAATGCATTTCAGCTGCAGATCAACCAATATAAACACTTAACGTCAACGACTGAGCTCTTGGGGACATTTAAATATTTCAAGTGTCCATGTAATATTTCAAGGTCTAGTACAAGTGTTTGTATGATACTGTTAAAGTTTTTTGCATATTTTGAATAAACAATGGCCCTTTTACTGGTTGAGTGTGACACCCCTGCTCTAGCAAGTCAGCTTCTTTGAAAAATTACATTTAATGACACTTTTCATATCGTAGTCAGGTATTAAAAGAGATTATATTTCGTTTACTCCCATCATGCAGAGATCAGTGCACAGTACACCCTGAACACCTCCTAAATCAGCAGGGAAAGGGAAAGTGCTTGAGTGGGAGGTTGTCAGTGGTCTGCTTGAACAGGCATGTTTTGGGGAGTGCGCTGGTCTGTGGAAGGTTGAGCACTCCTCTTATCTAACAGGAGAGCTCTATCAATGTCTACCATCACAGCAGCTCAGAACAGCTACAGTGCATGCCCTATGTACTATCTGTGTGACACAAGGAATGAAAGAGAAGCCACGGTGTGGGTGTATTTAACTCTTTGTGGGGATCCACACATTATCCCAGGATAAAGAATAGCAAGAGTGATAAGGTTAAGGTTAAAGCCCCTATCGACTCATTTTTATGATTTTCTTTTAATTATTATCTTCAGTTTTTGTGATGTTGTTACTATGAATTTCTGACATTTTCTTCAGTTCAGTTTGAGTTGGTTGAGACTAAATTTGGCGCAGGTGACGTCAGATCTGCTAAACTACCAATAAGTGTTCCTCTTAGGGTGCCTACACACTAGACAACTCAAGGACGGAGCAGTAGACGCATACAAATGCAGATCTTGTCTGTCTAGAAGGTGTGTACACGGCTGGAACGGGGCGGAGTTTGTACAGTTCGAAATCCAGCAGGAAAGTAAACATTTGGACCAGAAACAAAGAAATATGGACCATCGAGAGAAATTTTTGGCCACATACAGAGCCAGGCAGACAACAGCCACGAGGGCAAAGAAGCAGTGGTGGACGAAGTACACAAATCATGTACTTCAGTTAAAGTAGAGACACCCAAGGTAAAATATTACTCCAGTAAAAGGAGAAGTTCCTCCCTTTAGACCTCCACTTGAGTAAAAGTACAAAAAGATTTGCCTTCAAATGTACTTAAGTATCGAAAGTAAAAGTACTAAAAGATTAATTATGACTTTAATGTCCTATTATCATTTTTATAACAAGACTCGCTTCATTAACTCATTTTAGGTGAAAATACTCCAGTGTCACTCTTGTTAAACCAGTCCTTTAATAGAGTCATTAATTAGTGACGCTGATGTCTATTAAAATTATCATAAGCTCAAAACACTGAAGGCGAACAGTTTCCATCAGGTAGAACTGAGTGGCTCTGAAAAAACCTTTTGCGAACAAGCAAAGTTTCAGTTTAAGATTTATTTGCAACTTAGTTCCAAGTTTAAGTTTAATAAAAACTTTAAACTCAGATTCACAAATGAGTTTTCCTTCACTAAACTGTGTAACGGTTTCACAGAATTCAGACGCTCGCGGATAAAGAAAGAGAAGTAAGCTTTAATGTTGAAGTCAGAATCCAAAGTCGTCGTCAAAAAACAGGCAAAAAGGTCAAAACACATAGAACAGATATCCAGGGCAATCAATCCAAAGGGCAAATCCAAAAACAGAGTCAAAAAGAATGGGTAATACAGGTCACGCACAAAATCAGGATCACAGAGAGAACGCTCAGTAGTTTGCAGAATGAAACAATACCTCGCAAATAACTAACGCTAAAGCCCGGGCTTATAAGCTAAACTGAGGAAGTCACATGATCAAAACACACAGGTGTAACACATCAGAATTCTGGGCGATCGAGAACGCTGAAAGGAGCGTGTGGGGAGATCAGAAATCAGCTGATCTCCCTGTGTATTCTGGGAGATGGAGTCTGTGTGTGTATTGGGGTTTGTAGGAAGCATCAAAGTCATGTGATCTCCCAGAGGATTCTGGGAGATAGAGTCCGTTTCTTCCGCTTCGCTCATAACATTCGTGACAAACTGCATCTGTAGGTCTCTGTTCATAAACATAAACTAGCCAAAACAAATTCACTATAAAATGAAATAGTGTTTGTATAAATTCAGATAAAAGACGCGTCAGTCACAACTGCATATGTGTACATATTTCTATATTGTGGTCTATTTACACAAAATTTTATGCTGCTGCACTGATGTTGAACCGTGTGCTGCACTTGGTCGGTATGACCAACAGGTTCAGTGTGCCCTGATTGGTGTTCTTGCTTTGCGCCTCTTCTGTTTTGACGTTTTTATACACACATAAACCAAAAGGAACGACAGATTTCTCATAATGTAGTGGAGTAAAAAGTGAGATATTTCACTTTGAAATGTAGTGGAGTGAAAGTAAAAAGTCGCCCAAAATGGAAAAACTTCAGTAAAGTACAGATGCACAAAAAAACTACTTAAATACAGTAACGAATTACATTTACTTCGTTTCTGTCCACCACTGCAAAGAAGTCATATAGAACAGTTAAAGATGGCTACCAGTCACTACTGTCTGCAACTGCTCTCCCGCTGCTCCAAGTCCCAGACAAAATTACATTTTTTAACGTTGCTTGTTATGAAGGTTTATTACACTTTTGTTTGTAGCATAGCTCGATGCCTCCTGCATGCATTAGTCACCTGTTGCAGGATCCTACTATAAACAGTCGACTTAATTTTTACCAGAGTAGGATAGCTAGCGGTCCACCTTAACTGTAGGAATATAAATGATATGTGAGATTAGTGTGATGCACAGTAAGGCACACAATCAATTTTTCCACGGTGTTCGCAAATATGACCATGCTGACTTGTAAAAGACCTTGTGTGACCTCAGTTTTAGAAGCACAGTCCAGCAGGTTTTGGTCATAACGCTGGTGCTGAGTATTCAAATATTGGATACTGTGTCCGTGATCTACCTGTCATAAGATGAAAACATCAACTTGTCTAGAAAAGGTCTCTAAAATGACCATTAAACAGCGATCAAGACAGTTTTTCTGTGGGGGAGGTTTGGAGGGCTGAATCAGAATGATTGGCGGTGTCGCTGGAGCCGGTTTGTTTATGTTGCCTGGGAGACGCCACTGTCAATCATTATGCCATCTGACATGGCCACGAAGTTAGGAGCAGGCAGCAGCTCTGAATTTTTGGAGCGTGTATCTTTCATTTACATATGTTTTTGAATGCACTGTAAAAAATGGTTCGTCGGTCCAACCTAGTTCAGTGCTGTTATCACATGAGTTTTTTAGGGTGACAAACCATTTTCTACATTTCTTTCCTATTAAAATAAAATTTTAAACAGTTAAAACCATGTTGACAGGGACTTCAGAGGTGGGCTTAGGTGTATTAGCATCATTTAGCTACAGTGATCGAGACAGAGAAGCAGTAATCGAGACAGAGAAGTCTCAGAGACTACAAAATTGTGTGTTAGAGTGAAAAAGAGACGTACATAGACACAGACTGACTAAGCCACTTGTAGAACAAAAAGAGAAAAAGACATGGTGTTCTTTGTGGTTATCTCTGTTCACGTCCTCTCATGCTCCTTTTCCAAACTCATGCAGTCAGTGGAATGCATCCAGGCTCTAGACGCCTATCTTGAAAACCATCCTAGCATGAAAGGAGGCCTATACAGATCCAGTGGCCACTGCTTTTTCAGTCTACACCTAGAAAAGTCACTAGAAAAGCTCTGGTTCGTTAACTCCCCTGTGCAAGGTACCGCTACGACACACAAGCACATCACACACAGCAATGGACTTACTTCTCTGTGTCCTTCTCTCCCAGGTCAGTGCCAAAGTTCATGAAGCGAATGAAGGGGCCGGAGTACAGGGATAAGAGCGTGTTTGGAGTGCCTCTTATTGTGCATGTGCAGCGCTACGGCCAGCCTCTGCCTCTCTGCTTGCAGCTGGCGCTGCGCTACCTCCGGAGCCAATGCCTTGACCAGGTCAGTCAGCTCTAAGAGGAGCAGAGCCCAGCAAAGATCAGCTAATTCGAGTCTGTGTACTCACGATTATGTACTGTAAAAGAGAAGGAACTGCTCCTCCATATAATCGATTAAAAAATGCTGGTTGGAGTTGAAATGGTGTAGCAGAATAGGATGCAGTACACGGTTAACCCCGTCAAAATGAATGTCTTACCATCAATAAGAGATTTTGGCAACGTGCCTTTGAAATGATTAACGTTGCATGCAACTTGGGCAAAGTGAAATGCATCAGCATGTGGAATTGGAGTTTTCTGTGTGCTACTTAAGCAAAGGAACACAGAGGGAGTGTGTTATAGCGAAATAATATCACGGCTGTGATTTGGTCGCTGTAGATCATCACAGCCGTGATGTTATCCCTGATAACACACTCCTCGAGTGTTCTATTGCTTTAATACAACAGTTAAATAAATAAAGTAATAAATTAATAAACTGGGCCGTGAACGCGGCGTTTAATATGTTTTAATGTTCGCAGTTCCTTCACCAAATTATAGTTCCTTAACGAGCAGCTTGTTGCTACGTCAGAGTAACGAGCTCCGCCCACTCGCTGCACAGCCGGCAGTTCGTTCTCCAGCTCCTTACACTAAATTCCCAAACTGTCATCACCACTGAGCAGCTTTTCAGTCGGCAGCTGAGACAGAAGAACAGCTAAACAACCTGGAATCAGCCAGAAATGAACCCAACACCATTCGCCAAACTAAATGGGCTGTAAGATGCTTTACAGACTGGCTGGAACAAAACAACATTAATACTGATCTGGAAAAACTGACAAAATGAGTTAAACTTGATATTGCGGCAGTTTTATGGCTCAGTCTGATTTGGTCAGACTCTGAAGATCAGACTACACGTTTGGTGAATGGTGTTGGGTTCATTTCTGGCTGATTCCAGGTTGTTTAGCTGTTCTTCTGTCACAGCTGCCGACTGAAAAGCTGCTCAGTGGTGATGACAGTTTGGGAATTTAGTGTCGTCTCATCTTCAGAGTCTGACCAAATCGGTTGTCGGTCAAATGTGATCTTAAAAGTGTCCATTTTCTGTTTGTGGCAAATTAAGAAGTCAAAACGTTCAAATGGCTTGAGCATCTCCTACAGCTGTCAAAGTCGTTACCTTAGCAACGGCGTCTCAGCGGAGTGATAGTGTTTGTGAAAAACCGTGATGTTATGGTGAAATAACAGCACGGTTAGAACGCTTCACAACCAATCAGTTTGCGTGGCCGGAACTAACTGTTGTATAACTTGTTTTCTATCACTATATAAAAATGGACAAGGCTTCCTTTATTGTTGGATACATAGTGAACCTTTGGAAGCTCATTCAGAATGAAACTTGGATCAGTAAATGCTTATTATTGATATGTTCAATCATATTAATGATCAAAAGGCCCCTGATGCATGACATAACCCTATTTATGGGTTTTCTTGCTAAAATGGGTACGAAAACAAAATAAAAAGCTATGTATTTGAGGTTTGTTAAATTGTTAGATCATTTTCTTTACATATAATAAAAAGTATAACAGCATTTTGAAATATCATTATTAATACATTTCTTAATGGGTTTGTTTCACTAAAAGCGCTGAACAATGCAATGTGGAGCGTCGCACACATTTTGAGTTTGTTTAACTTCTGATAGGAAGTTAACAGAACAGGATTTGTCTTTTGCTCTGTCAGCTTATTATTTAAAGTTTAATTAACTCAAAATTTGAAAGAAGGCCAGTAACGTTTTAGAACGTTTAAGAATTTCAACCAAACGGTTCTAATTAGCGAATATTCACCCTTGGCATGTTTCAGTGATGTGAGGTACTGTGTGGTAGTTTGTCATTTCTGTTTAGTGCAAAAACGTAAACTTTCTATTTTATATAACCCTACTTTACAAAAGCGCTAAGCAGTGAAGTACGTAGTGTATATGGTAAGAAAATAGTGCATAGTGTCCAAACTGAGACACAGCGTCAGATTTTCACAATACCTATACACTCACTGGTCAATTTATTAGAAACGCCTTGTGTTTCCACCTTTCTGGCGTACCGTTGCACAGTTTATGTTAACTGTCCTCTACACCAGCGGTTTTCACATGCAGCCTTAGGGACCCCCTGTCAGGCACTGTTTTAGGTGCCCCAGCGCACCTGATCCATCTCATGAAGAGCTTGATATTCACCTGATAAGCTGGATCAGGTGTGTCAGCACAAGGAATAGTTCCCCATGGCTGCAGATGAAAACTACTGCTCTACACCTCCTTCAGTGGTCAGTTTCTGACCACAGAACTGCTCCTGTATGTTTATTTTTGAGTGGCATTAACACTGTCGTGTGATACACTCGTAGCAGCTCTGCAAACACTAGCAGTACCGTACCTTCTCTGGCTCTTGCAGTTGAGGGCTATAGGTCACAATGTCCTTGGATAAAGTGGACATGAATTTATTTTCAGGTTTTCTTCAAGTGTTTCTCTGCTGTTTTCTGATCTCAGGTGGGGCTTTTCCGTAAGTCCGGCGTGAAGTCTCGGATCCAGGCTCTGAGGCAGATGTGTGAGAACTCTCCAGAGAGCGTGGACTATGAGGATCAGTGTGCATACGATGTGGCGGATATGGTGAAGCAGTTCTTCAGAGATCTTCCTGAGCCACTGCTCACCAGCAAGATGGGGGAGACCTTCCTCCATATTTACCAGTGTAAGTGGAAACATAATTTCCCTCACAAATAAGGAAATAAATCATATCGCTGTTGTCGGAGGAAAACCTTGTATCTCCAAAATGGTAACTTTAAAGGAGAAGGAAAAAACCTACTTTATATTTAATGTAAGTCAATGGAACCATTGAGTCATTTAGGGTTGTTTCTTTTAGTCCATTCATCATGAAATTTACAGACAGTGTAAAGGGCAACAGGCAAATGTCAAAAGCTGAAAAACGTCAAAAATGGAGATACAAGGTTTTCTTCCGACAACAGCGATATCTGTCTTCTCATTTTGAACATTCTCTCTCTGTAGATGTTCCTAAGGAGCAGCGCTTGCAGGCAGTGCAGGCAGCCATCATGCTGATGGCAGATGAGAACCGAGAGGTCCTGCAGACCCTGCTCTGCTTCCTGAGTGATGTCACGTCGTCTGTAGAGGAGAACCAGATGACCCCGATGAACCTGGCCGTGTGCCTGGCTCCTTCACTCTTCCATCTCAACATTATGAAGAATGACAACCTGTCACCGAGGTTATAAGCATGCGCATTACCCATATTTCTCTCTCTCTCTGTCTGTGTGTGTGTCTCTCTCTCTCTCTCTCTCTCTCTCTCTCTCTCTGTGTAGTTAAGCATGTGACAGTGCTCTGTCATTAGGAGCCTGGCATTTTGTAGAGGTGCAGAGTGTTTTATGAGTCTCCAAAGTCCACCATTATCCAGCTGTTTGCAGTAGTGTTGGTGGATTCAGAACAGGCACACTGATTTGACAAGGCCTGGAAGGATTGTGGAGAGAGTCAACAACCTCATTTTAATAGAGGGGGCAAGATGTGCTGTTCCTCAGCGGTCAAACATGGGAGTGGGAGAACATATTGATACATAGAAAGTTATGTTATAACATTGTGTTGTACTTAATTATTAAATTAATTAAATAGGCAGGGTCAGCACTGCTATAACAGTAAAAGTCCTTGGGCAAGATCTAATGCTACATTCCCATAAAGGAGAATTCCACCTTTATTTCAGTTGATAACATCAGAACATATCAGAAAAAAAATCTGAATGGTCAGTGTGAAAAAGCAAGTTTTCTTTTGTGGACTATTTTGCATTACAGTGCTCTGTGTGTACCATCTCCACCATGAATAGCTTTTTAAAAACACATTTTAAACCAAAAGCTTATCTCAGAACTACTGTAAAACACTGTCTCAGGCAACAGGCAGGTATTCGTAACAATTTCATGCAGTAACTTTCAGTGAAGTAGCTTTAAGAGGCATTAAACACTTTGGACGTCTGGTTCCTATCACCACCACTGTAAACAGTTCAGTATGTAAACAGTTTTTAATTAGTTTTGATTAATTTTAGCGAAGTTTTAAGTGTCTCCAGAGTGAAGAATTTCACATCAAACCACTCTGAATTACTTTGGGTACTTCTTATATTTTTTATTATGCAGAAATTTGGAAACATTCGTGGACTTTCCCTTTAGCATTCCGTTTTGCTTCAGTGAACAAATATTCAAGTTAACTGAAAAGTGTTATTAATACTAAAACATTCGTTATAAATCAGTATGATAAATTACCTTTTTAAGATACAAATAATATAAATCACAAAGTGCAGTCAAAAGTAATGCATTGCATTGAATCACAATGTCATTTTAGTGTCTAGCATATCTCAAATCTTCAGTCTCAGGAGAATCATATGGCTTAAGTGTTGTGATAATATCATATTGAGGCGATTCCATCCTCTAAAGAAGCGTCTAGGGCAGGGGTCAACATTTCTTGACTGATGTCCAGCACAGATTGGTCATTTCCGTGCTCAAAAACACTTCAGTCTTTTCATTACCAGGTTCAGTAAGCTTGTTTGAGCAGGCTGTGCTGGACGCTGGCCTTCCAGGTCCAGAACTGTTGAACCCTGAAATACTACTGAGCTTGTAGGGCTTGTGTCTCCCGTTCTCTGTTCTAGTGCTGTACTATTAGAGAGGTTCCTTAAAAGCCAGAAACATTTTAAGGAAACATATTTGTTTCACTGTTAAGTCTGTGCAACATCTTTGGTGATGCAGAATCACTAATGAAACCCCAAGAAAAATAAGCTGAAGTAGATCAATTATAAGGGGATTTAACATTTGTCAGCACAATTGATCTTTTTGAAGGAGACAGTAATTATCGTTCGATAGCAGCAGCATTAAATAAACATTCTCCACCATGTCTCAGGTCTATCCAAAGGAAGTATGCCACTGGACGGCCTGACCAAAAGGACCTCAACGAGAATCTCGCTGCCACCCAAGGACTTACTCACATGATCACTGAGTGCAACCGACTGTTTGAGGTAAGAGTCTTGAAACATTGTGAGCAGCAGAATGTCCACCTCATCTGCTGCTCCTAACCAGTCACAGCTCAGCTGTGGGAGAAGTGGCTGCCTCTGGGGAGCTGTTTCTGTAGCTGCAGTGTTTGTGCGAGGTCATAACATGTCCACAGAAATTTTTATTCAAGGCTACAAATTTACAGCATTTAGCAGATGTTCTTATCCAGAGCAACTTACAAAAAGTGCTTTGTCTATCTAGAGAAAGTATCTTTGCTAGGTTGGAGAGAAAGACAGTTCTGAGCTCAGGTACTGCTAGAAACAGAAGTCCATGTTGATACACAGAAAAAAAGGAACAGAGTGAAAACACAGTGCAGTACAATACATTTCAATAAGTGCAGTACAGTACATTACAATTAGTTGCTTAACTCAGTGCTCACTTAAGTGCTGTATAAAGAGACGTGTCTTCAGTCTGTGTTTGAAGACCGCGAGAGACTCTGCTGTTCGGTCAGCCAGTGGGAGTTCGTTCCACCACCTGGGCTCCGATACAGAGAAAAGTCTCGATGCTTGTCTTCCACGCGTCTTGAAGGATGGCGGGTCGAGCCGAGCTGTACTCGAAGCTCAAAGGGCTCGAGGTACAGTTCGAGTTTTGACCATTGCCATCAAGTAGGGAGGGGCTGGTCCGTTTTTGTCTTTGTAGTCATCAGGGTTTTAAATCTGACGCAGCTACAGGAAGCCAGTGAAGGGAGCGCAGCAGTGGAGTGACGCGGCTGAACTCAGGAAGACTGAAGACGAGCTGTGCTGCTGCATTCTGGATGAGTTGCAGAGGTTTGATGGCCGCATAGGAAGACCAGCCAAGAGCGAGTTGCAGTAGTCAAGCCTTGTGATGATAAGAGACTGAACGAGCACCTGGGTGGCCTCTCGAGTGAGAAAGGGTCGGATCCTCCGGATGTTGTACAGGAGAAATCTGCATGACCGAGTTAGGTTCACGATGTGAGCCGAGAATGATAACTGACCATCCAGAATCACACTGAGACTTCTTGCCTCTTCAGATGGAACAATCAGAGAGTTCTCGAATGAGATGGCAAGATCATGATGAGGACCTGTAGCTGCAGGGATGAATAGCAGCTTACAAATGATAATATTATACACAATGCGCAATTTTTAGTTTTTAGTTCCTCAAAGTGTTTTCAGGGCAGTGCTACAGATTGTGGTTTAGATTGGATTGAGGCGGGCTGACATTCGCACATGCAGGTCCACCTCACAACTTCAGTACATCAGTATGATAGGAAGCAGCACCTTTTCCTCACAGGACATGAATAACCTCTGCATGTTTCTCCGCAGGTTCCTCAGGAGATGGTCACTCAGTCCAGAAATTCCTACATGGATGCTGACCTGCTGGCGCCCCCTCTGGACGAGCTGTGCAAACAGCAGCAGCCACTTGAGGAAGATGAAGAGGAAGGCGAAGAGGAAGGCTCCTATCGCTGCTACTTGGAGGGGCTGATCCAGAACCTGCTGAAGGAGGCCAGAGACAAGACCAAGTGCTGGGTGAGCCGACCCAACATCGACAACACCGAGCTATCGTTCAAAAAGGTGAGACCACTTTAAATGCGACTGCCCTACTGACTATTACTACTGGATCTACTGTACTAAAAAAGTGTGATTTATTTTAGTTAGATTTATTGTAGAAAATAATTTTTAAACGAACAGTGTAATATGAAATGTAATTTCAAACACGTTCTTGCTTTATTAAGTCTCTAGGAACAGTTTTTTATCAGTGTAGTAATTTTGACTGTAAAACTTTTAAGGGCCTTATCCTGTCCTACTCATTTAACTTCTTGAAGTCCACTTATAACATTTGCATGGTTTTAGGCACCAAAAATGGTCATAATTAATTATTATATCACCTTTTTTACTCGCTCTTTATCCCTTAGAGTGATCACCAACTGCTCCTGGAGATCTGCCTTCCTGCAGACTTAACTCCAACCCTAACTGACCCCATCTGATCCATCTAATTATTGCTTTCAGAAATCCTTGATTAGCTGAATAAGGAGTGTTAGATGCGGACTGGAGGTGAAACCTGCAGGAAGGTAGATCTCCAGAAGGAGGGTTGGTCAGCACGGCCTCAGAGTTAAATGAGCAGTTATGTATCACTGCTGTCGGAAAAAAACCTCGTATCTCCATTTTTGTCATTTTTTAGTTTTTGACATAATTTGAAAATGCCTGTTGGCCTTAACAATGTGTGTAAATTTCATGATGAATGTACTAAAAGAAATGGACAAAAATGACTTGGGGAAAAAGTCTGGTTCCATTGATTCACATTAAAAGTAAAGTAGGTTTTTTCCTTCTCCTGTAAAGTTACCATTTTGGAGATACGAGGTTTTGTTCCGACAGCAGCGATATGTAAATGAGTTCTGTTCTGATTAACTGTCCTGTATTGTGCCTCATTCAACAAACACTCATTGTAACTTCAATATGAATGAGCCGAGCTAAACTGCTGTAGGCTGAGTAGGTGCATGTATGTAAATGAGTTTTAAATTGTTTGCATATAACCTCAAACTCTTATACTTCAAAATAAGCTTGTTTTTCCATGATATGGGCCCTTTAAGTGCTGTTTAATAATCATTGTCTCTCTCACAGCTGGGTGATGGAACCCCACTGCGGCGATGGCGTGTCTCAGTTGAAGTGGAGGCTCCACCGTATGTGGTGCTGAACCGGGTGCTGCGAGAGCGCCACCTGTGGGACAGTGAACTCCTGCAGGGGAAAGTTCTGGAAACACTGGACAAGCAGACTGAGGTGTACCAGTACTCCCTCAACAGCATGGCCCCTCACCCCAGCAGAGACTTTGTGGTGCTCAGGTAGTTTTTCCCACATTATATACATTTGTGCGTAGCTGCATCTGTACAGCGCTCAATACAACACTTCCAGCTGCCTTTTCATGTACGAAAATGTCGAGACAGCTTGTGAAATGGTAATAAAACAGAAAGCAATTAATAGTAAATTGTGTTTGACCTGTATGAAATTGTTTTACCTTATAAACTTCATTGTTTTTTCAAATTTGAGTCCTGGAACATGTTCCAAAAAAAGCTGGGACAGGACCTGGTTTACTATGTTACATCACTATTTCTTTTCACAGCATTTAATAATCCAATTTTAAAAGTGAATTTTGCCATTCTTCTATACAATTCTTCAGCTGCATGACTGTGCAGGGCCCTTATTGCTTCATAATCTTCTACCATCTTACCTACCTGCCTTATTACCCCACTAATCTGACTGTTACCTCCCATTCTTTGCCACTATACACCCTTTAACTGCTGCTGCACTCAGCATGTTAACTTAAGGCACATATTTTGCACAATGTAAGGTTTACAGGTATGACTGTATGTGTGTGTGTGTGAGAGAGAGAGTGAGTGATGGTAGAATGCATGTTTTGTTTTATTTTATTTTATTTTATTCTCTGTAAATGTCTGTCTGATACTGTGCACTGTGAGCCCAAAACCAAATTCCTTGTATGTGTCAGCAAACCTGGCCAATAAAGCTTGATTCTGATTCTGATTCTGATAATCCACGCAGGCAGTCCAATCTAGCACCACTGATTACAACATCGATTTCAGAATTAGCATGTATTTACAAAAAACAATGAAGTCGTGGTAAAACATTAAATGTCTTGTTTTTGTACAGCTAAATACAGGTCAAAGTGGAATCACTGATTCAGTTTTTGTTTGCATTTCACAAGAGCCATTTTGTCCTTTCAACCTTTTTATATCCACAACATTTTATATCCTTGTTAACATCCTGACTGTAAATATGTCTCAGCAGTACTAGTGTAGGCTAAAAATATAATATAAATGAAAACAGACTAACTTTGCTCTGCTTTAAGCTTTAGCTCCGCTTTAGTCGCTTTTCTCGCATCTCCAGCAGGAAACCTTTCCACAAAAGTAGAACAGTTTCTTGTAAAATGTCTCTCATTGTTCGATTTTATGAGCCTGAAGTCGCTTCTCATTCGCCAGCTTTTTGTTCGAATTTTCCCGATCCGCCTTAAATGTAAATATGTAACTGTGGCACCATTTAAGGTGGAACAGGAAAATTTGACCAAGAAGACTTCAGCTTCACAACTTTTTAGTGTTTCAGTTTCTCGTTGCAGATTAAACGTATCAGGAAACCAGCTGGAGTGATTATAAACACTAATAAGTCCATTCATCTCCAAATTATCGATGTTTGTCTGAAATCTTTCTCTTTGCCTTTTCGCTATGCTGGATTGAGCTAGGCAAGATTGTTCTCGTTGCTATGGTGACCAGCAGTCTGCGCTGATCTTCAGGGTTAAAGGGTGAATTATCAGCTCTACATTAACTCCAGAGTTTAAGACCATTTATTGTTAAACTGTGTTGAACGATCAGCAGAGCTTTATTTTACTGTAAAGGAGGATTATTTTATTTTTACCTACAAATCTGATTCTGCTGTGGCGCCACAACAGGGCAGCAAAAGAGCCGCATGTTGCCAAGCCCTAGCTTTCTACACTGCTTATTATTGGTCAAACCAATTTTGTTATTGTAATATAGTTATTATTGGATGGTAAGAAATCTGATTACTGGTCAGAATCAAACAGTGCAAGTAGATGGCAGCCTTGATGTGGTCTTTCAGTTTAGGATAAACTGAGGGTAATATGTTTGTCCTGAACTAAATAGGAACTATGTTCTCTTTTTCTAAGACTGACGTGTTGCAGTGTTGCAGAGAACCACATCTAAGACAAGCATGCAAGTGTAAAGGGTGACTAGACAATGAGATTAGCGGCTAACACTCCTCTTGAGTGACACGTTGTTTGAAGGTTAATGAAATCTGCACTTGGCAGGTTGACGCTGAGCACCACTGCGTGATTTTCCCCTAGAGCTAACCTTCTGTATATGTGTGTGCATCTACAGCGCCGTGTCCCTGTGCGGCAGTGTTCTAGACTCACACTAAGCTTAAACCTTTAGTGGAACATCACAGTTTATGAAGAAACGTAGACTTGATCCTTTTCTGGACAACACAAAATGGGCTTATAATGTTTTTGTTTGTGTTTACCTTTATATATTTCAGCACACTGATCTCTTCACTCAGTTTGGTACAGAATGTGGATTTATTGTTATGTACTTATATATCAGTTTAAATATTTCTTCTGTTTAGGACGTGGCGGACAGACATGCCGAAGGGGGTGTGTGTATTAGTGTCTGTTTCCATTGACCATGAGGACAGCGCGCCTATGGGAGGAGTTCGGGGCGTGGTTCTGGAGTCACAGTACCTGCTGGAACCTTGTGGGTCCGGCAAGTCCAGACTCACACATATCTGCAGAGTGGATCTCAAGTAGGTGCCTTTAATGAGCATCACTGCAAACACATTCAGCTGATTTGTGTCTTTAAAGGGGACGTCCACTGATCTTTCAAAAATTTCTGCATAATTCACTTGTTGAGACGTAAACAGTCATTCACCGTGGTTAGAAATGAAACATGAATTGTAGACAAACTTACTAACTGATGACTTTACCGTGGTGGTGATGGGAACCACAGGTTGTGATGTCTGCAACACAGATATAGGCAATTTATTTACTATCCAAAATGACCAGTTCTCAGTTTTAAATGTAATGTTGATTACAGTTCAAAAACTCCAGCAGCACTGCTGTGTCTGATCCACTCAGACCAGTGCAACACACACTAACACACCACCACCACGTCAGTGTTACTGCAGTGCTGGGAATGATCCACCACCCAAATAGTACCTGCTCTGTGAGGGTCCATGGGGGTCCTGACCACTGAAGAACAGGGTAAAAGGGGGCTAACAAAGTATCAGAGAAACAGATGGACTACAGTCTGTAACTGTAGAACTACAAAGTGCACCTATATAGTAAGTGGAGCTGATAAAATGGACAATGAGCTTAGAAACAAGGAGGTGGTCAGAATGTTATGCCTGATCGGTGTATTCGGAACTGTCTGTTATTAACATGCTGATTGGCTGAGTGGCATTGGGGGTGGGGCAAGACCCAAACAATACTCAGCCTAAACCAGAACTAATGCAAAATTAAATGGAGCAGTTCTATGATTGGCTGGCAGGAAAGGAGCAACGTTACAAGCATTTATACAGCCCACTTTCAGCATATTACAAAGCAGTGAATTGAGTATTTAATCTTGGAGAGAGAAAAGGAGCAAGACGTGAAATTTTCTCTTTGTTTTCTATGCATTCTAGTTTAAATACTGCCCTCTAGCACACATGTTCACTTCATGTGCATGTATATTGGCAGACACACAGAACTTCTGTGTTCACAGATATGCAGAGGCAGAACTATAAACAAGCCTCAAGTCATGTGAGACAGAAATACAGATGGCTTCCACCAGAGGGCACTCTTAACACATACTGCATTAGTCCATGTGGATCTCAGTGTGGATCTGCCTCCTGAGAGAAGTTATTAGTAATTTGTAATGAATTACTTTTATGAGTAACTACTGTTGATAATGCTGGCATTTACACAGTCTAACCCCAGATGTAGTTGATCTGCATGTTTAGAGTCTCAAGTTTGCTTCTACAGTTTTGCACTGCAGCTGTGACACTAACAGAGCTAAAAAAGTAGTGGAAGCTTACAGCCCACCAAGTTAGCAACAACAAATCAAATAGTCCTTTTGTGGTTTCTGGCACTGTTATCACACTATGCGTTACACTACACCAGGGGTCAGCAACCTGCGGCTCTTTCACTGTCCTGTTGTGGCTCCACAGCTGAATTAGATTTGTAGGTAAAAATAAAATAATCCTCCTTTACAGTAAAATAAAGCTCTGCTGATCGTTCAACACAGTTTAACAATAAATGGTCTTAAACTCTGGAGTTAATGTAGAACTGCTAATTCACCCTTTAACCCTGAAGATCAGCACAGACTGCTGGTCTCGCCTAGCTAGTAGATAGCAAAATAGCAAAGAGAGAGTTTTAAGAAGAACATCGATAATGTAGAGATTAATGGACTTATTTGTTTTTATAATCACTCCAGCTGGTTTCCTGATACGTTTAATCTGCAACGAGAAACTGGCAAACACTAAAAAGTTGCGAGGCTGAAGTCAGATTCTTGTTCAAATTTTCTCAATCCACCTTAAATACCAGATAGCACATTTGATATGGCTCAAACCTGGGCCACATCCGGCATTTAGATGCGACCCACATACCACATGGAATAATGGCACAGAAGTGAGCCAGATGTGGTTGCCAGAACCCTGCCTGTTTACTGCCATTACAGGGCCAAATCTCAGCCACCTTTAAAAGAGCTCTGCCAGAACATTAGTACAAAAACCAGGTCATTACAACAACTGCCCTGATGGGTGGGAATGTCGCACAGTGCCATGAGGCTCAGGGAGAGGTGGTGTTTCCCACTATTGGGCTACCAGCTGCAGATGGGACTTGATCTCGCTTAGCCCACTGCCCTAACAGCAGCAGGTACTGCTGTTACAAGCCTACATGCCCAAACGTTTACTACACTGTGAAAAAGAGTTGTTTAATTTGACTCTGTGACGCGCCTCACAGAGAAGTTTAAGTGAATTGAATGTCAGATCAGTTTTGTTGTTTAATGAACACAAAATTTGAAGCAGCCACAAATCATAATAAACTAAATCTGAATTAAACTGCAAACTAGGATATGTAGTAGTGTTCCTAGTACTGAGGCAGACTCTGTTGAATTAACTAAAATTAGCATTTTAACCCAACATTTATTTTTGTTGAAATATTAAATAAAATGTCACAGAAACTAAAAATAAATGCCCCCCCACAGTCATGTTAGTCCCTGTTTAAAACATAAATGATTATCACGTAGCTCATGTCAGCTCTGCCATATTTCTGCCAGAAGTGGCCCAGATCTGTTTTGAGACATGTGGGCCATATGAGCATTTTTATATGTGGGCCACGTTTGGTTCACATACAGTTAGCCAGTGCCGACCATGGGCCAGCAGTACCATATCTTTGCCAGAAGTGGCCCACATCCACATGCTATCTGGGATGGTACAGCAGTTACATTCTGGCGCTATTTAAGGTGGAACGGGAAAATTCGAACAAGAAGCTGGCGAATGAGAAGCGATTTCAGCCTCGTAAAGTGTCGAACGTTGAGACATTTTACAAGAAACTGTTCCACTTTTGAGGAAAAGTTTCCTGCCGGAGATGCGAGAAAAGCAGCTGTAGCTGAGCTAAAGCTTAAAGCAGAGCAAAGTTAGTCTGTGTTTTGGTTTGTAGTATATTTTTAGTCTATACTAGCACATCAGCACATACTGAGACATATTTACAACCAAGGTGGTAAAATGGACATAAGATGTTGTGGCTCCCTGGGTGGTTGATTTTTGCTAAAAGGACAAAATGGGCTTTCTTGACATTTGGGTTGCGACCCCTGCATTACACTATTATCTATAAAAATGGACAAAAGTCTTTAGGCCTAAATTTTGTCTGTACCTTTGTCCTTTTTGTCAGAATGTGCTGATTGTTCTTGTTTGTGTGTTGTGTTACAGGGGAAAGTCACCTGAGTGGTATAACAAAGCCTTTGGTCATCTGTGTGCTGCCGAAGTGGCTCGCATTCGCAACTCCTTCCAACCACTGGATGCTGAGGGCCCTGAGACCAAAATCTAAGCCTGGCTTTGGAGAAGGGCTTGGGGGGATCAGGGTTTGGGGCCAAGCTTGGGACCACAGTCCACAGTTAGGCCAAAGATCAGGGGTTGGACCAGCGCCAAAGTGACTAGGGTTAGGACCAGAGGACTTTGGATACTGTAACTAACTGTAAAGTGGTAAGAATAGTAAGTTGAGAGAGCGGCAGAGGGTGAAGTAGAAAGAAGCTAAAAGAGAAAGATGGGACGTTTTTGCAGCTATAACCAGACTCAAAATACTCTCGGAATACTCGAACAATGACTTTAATGCTGTACAGCTCCGATTTCTGATGATCATGATTTGTTGTACAATATGTTCTTCACTTGGGTGCTTGGCTTGTTATATTTCTGGTTAGTCAAAACTCCAAAACTTCACTGCCAGTTTCAGAGTGTCCCTGATTGGTGGATGTTTTTGGTGGCAGAGAGGAGAGCAGAAATGGGAAATGAAGGTCAGAGAAAGTAAGAAAGGCTCTGCGGCGGTCATTCAGCTTTGTATACAGAAGCAGTCAATGTGAAAAGACCTTCTGGTCTAGTCTAGTCTTCTTAGCTGTGCTTTGAGCCTGCATTCACAGACAGTACTGTACTAACTCCTGCAGATAGTGCTAAAGAGGGCAGTCGCGTAAAGACGAGCACTACATACAGCAATATTTTCATCAAGACGTCACTTCAGCCCAACCGTTGTAGAGCGATCCATTTCACATTTGGTGTTGCGTTTAGGCCCCACTCACTTTTGCACTTCCCACCTGGCTGTTAATCCTTTTGAAATTAGTTTCAGAGACAATACAAATACACTATATTGCCAGAAGTATTCAGTCGTCTGCCTTCATACACACATGAACTTGAGTGACATCCCATTCTTAATCCATAGGGTTTAATATGATGTCCCACCCTTTGCAGCTATAACAGCTTCAATTCTTCTGGGAAGGCTTTCCACAAGGTTTAGGAGTGTTTATGGGATTTTCTGACCATTCTTCCAGAAGCGCATTTGTGAGGTCAGACACTGATGTTGGACGAGAAGGCCTGGCTCACAGTCTCCGCTCTAATTCATCCCAAAGGTGTTCTATCGGGTTGAGGTCAGGACTCTGTGCAGGCCAGTCAAGTTCTTCCACACCAAACTCGCTCATCCATGTCTTTATGGAGCTGCTTTGTGCACTGGTGCGCAGTCATGTTGGAACAGGAAGGGGCCGTCCCTGTCCAAAATTTCTTGGTGCTGAAGCATTAAGAGTTCCTTTCACTGGAACTAAGGGGCCGAGCCCAACTCCTGAAAAAAAACCCCACACCATAAGTCCCCCTCCACCAAATTTTACATTTGGCACAATGCAGTCAGACAAGTACCGTTCTCCTGGCAACCGCCAAACCCAGACTCGTCCATCGGATTGCCAGACGGAGAAGCGTGATTGGTCACTCTAGAGAACACGTCTCCACTGCTCTAGAGTCCAGTGGCGGCGCTTTACACCACTGCATTCGACGCTTTGCATTGCGCTTGGTGATGTAAGGCTTGGATGCAGCTGCTCGGCCATGGAGACCCATTCCATGAAGCTCTCTACGCTGTTCTTGAGCTGATCTGAAGGCCACATGAAGTTTGGAGGTCTGTAGCGACTGACTCTGCAGAAAGTTGGCGACCTCTGCGCACTATGCGCCTCAGCATCCGCTGACCCCGCTCTGTCATTTTACGTGGCCGACCACTTCGTGGCTGAGTTGCTGTCGTTCCCAATCACTTCCACTTTGTTATAACACCACTGACAGTTGACTGTGGAATATTTAGTAGTGAGGAAATTTCATGACTGGACTTGTTGCACAGGTGGCATCCTATCATGGTACCATGCTGGAGTTCACTGAGCTCCTGAGAGCGACCCATTCTTTCACTAATGTCTGTAGAAGCAGTCTGCAGGCCTAGGTGCTTGGTTTTATACACCTGTGGCCATGGGAGTGATTGGAACACCTGAATTCAATGATTTTAATGGGTGAGTGAACACTTTTGGCAATACAGTGTATGACCAACCACGAGTCGTTTCTCTAATTGTGTTCTGTGGTTCATTTCACTCCAGAGAGCCGTTAGATTTCCTGTAAGAAAACAAAGAGTGGGAGGAAAGTACTTGACTTGGACTTGGACAAACTGTCATGCAACCACAAAAAGCCACCTATAGGTTCTTATAGATGTACTTTCAGTACAGGTGTGCATAACATGAGAATAAGCATTAGATTATGGGCATACATTTAAAGCAACATCAAGTGAAATTATTATTATTATTATTATTATTATTATTGTGTCAGTGTCATGCTATACAATGTCTAGGACATTAATCCATTCCACTGCTTCTAAGAAGCATATCTGTATTCATTTTTACACACAACACTGTATATCTAGAACAAACTGTGTCAGTGTACATATTTGCATGTGTATATGTGTATATATGCATATTTTACAGTATATTTTGTACATAAGTGATGCTTATAGGCAGATTTACCTGCTTCTTCTGCTCATAACTTTTTTTTCATGTCATATTAATATGTTAAAAACAATGCAATACCAAAAATGTAAGCTGGTGTCTCCATGCTTCCCCAGTGCTGTGCGAGTGGGAACAGCGTATGTGAGTTTGACGTGAGCTCCGTGGAGACGAGCGTCATGGCTCCAAAAAGTAGTTTCAGAGCTCTAGAGCGGAGGACAGGGTCTCAACGTTGCTTTGTGACGAGAATGAATAAAACCTCATTGGAATACATTGGAGTGGTGTTCTTGTGAGAGTGTGTGTGTGTGTGTGTGAGTGAGAGTGTGTGTTTTAGGGCTGAACGATTTGTGGAAAATAAAATTGAGGTTCAGGCCTGATTCATTTTGGCCATAAAGACCAGAACATCCACCTTTTTTGTCTTGAGGCTCGACCCCTGAACGTAGTCTGTCAAACTGCCGGTAAGATGTAGCTGTGATGTCACAACACATGGAGGTTTGGTTGCCTCTGATTGGTCTAACTCACCTACAGGCCGTTCACAAACTCTTATTAGGTTCCGTTTCCCCTCTTAAAACTTAGAACAACATTTTTGCTGATGTACACACTGAATAAAAATGGTTCTTCAAGGGTTCTTTAGTAAAGACAATCGTTCTATGTAGAACCATAAGGACTCAGCAACCCATTTACATTCATGAAAAGTTCTCTGTGTGGTGGAATAGTTCTTCAGATTAATGGAGAATGTGTTGTATATGGTTCTATATAGAACCTTTTTGAAAAGAGTTCTCTGTTCTTCTACTGTTATAAGTTTGACAGCAACAAGCAACAGAGTAACAATACCAGAACCCTTTTTGATGCTGTACAGAACCACATACAACACATTCTCCAATCTGAAGAACCATTTCACCATGCAAAGAACTTTTTATGCATGCAAATGGGTTGCTAAGTCCTTATGGTTCTACATAGAACCATTAACTTTAGTAAAGAACCCTTGAAGAACCATCTTTATTCAGTGTGTGTCAAATGGGTCTGAGTGTTCATGGTTCTATATAGAATGACTGTCTTTACTAAAGAACTTTTTAAGAACCTTGAAGAACTATGTTTTTTTTAAGTGTGGGCTTTAATTAAAGAAAATTGCAGCTCTTGCGATTTGTTATAAAAACAATTAATCTATTCCCCTAGTGTGTGAGAGAACTTATATTTAACATGAAAATACATCTTTGTCCGTTGGTGCCAACTCTCTGTATTTGGCAGTTCAGGGTACATACTCTCATTTTGCCCCATGAGCAGAAACCTGCACTGCAATCTCGCTCTTGTCCACTAGATGGCAGAGTTGAGGCATTCTACAGATTAGACTACCTTTTCGGGACTTGATCAGTAAAACAGCACACCTCAATGGTAGCCAGGTCCGCAAAGGTCAAAGCACAGTTTATTTTTTTGAAAAACAGCGACACCTGCTTAGCCTGCGAAACCACACACTGGAGCGGAACTATTGATCAACCCTATATTGGAATAATATGTCCAAACAAACAGGGCTGGGCGATACAGGGGACATTCAGAGCCGGCAGTAAATCTTCATTAGGATAAAGTGAGTCAGTGGAGTGTCCTTCTCTCCTCTAATGTCTCTCTTCTCCTCATACATCACCAAGGGGGCATCAATGAGCGCCACAAACCCACTGTGTGTGTGAGTGTGTGTGACTGTGATTGTGCTAAGGGAAATTGCCATGTCTTGCCTGACAGTCTTAAGTGTTTGACATATTTCAGGCTGATTATATTACATGGGGTCAGTTGAAGTCATAGATATCCATACCTGGATGCCGCGTTGTCTGTTGTTCTCTGAGGCGATACGTCTGCGCGTCCGCCATGTTGGGGAGGTCAAGATCCGCTTGTGAACGGATTCACTTGTACTGAGAGATGAAGAGTCTCAGGATTAAATCAGCCTCAACTTCCTTATTACTCAACTGGTTTTCACCAAATCAGTTTAGTTATAATCCTCAGACACAGATTAATCCAGGCTGCACGGATCTGCTCTCGGTAGCTTTTATTACTTTAATAACTGTGATAATTAGCCGTCCAGACCAGCAGGAAAGTATTCAGTCTGCACCTGACGATAAAAACCGAGTTTAGCACGAGAAACAGAATCAGACACATCAGCAAATCCACCAATGTGTGAATCACTTCTAATCTTAATACACATAAAAGTAAAACTGTTCCGCGTTTTCCCGTTCCACCTTAAATAGTGCAGCAGTAACTTTCTGGAGCCTGAAGCTGCACCATTTAAGGTGGAATGGGAAAACTCAGAACAGTTTTATTTTATACAAGAAGGTGGGAAAGACGCTAACTTCAGCTCTGTGTAAGAAGATGCTAACGTCAATCTATTATGAATATCTACACAGATTAAGGAATGATATAATTTACCTAGCTACAAAGCTTTAACCATCACTGTAAATAAATAACTACTACATAAAGTTTAGATCCTGAATAGACTATTAAATGAAATAAGCTTAATATAAAACCAGAGGAAAAACAATCACAGCAACAGGTTCTCTGTGCCTCATTAACCACACGGCCATATCTACACAAACACCACACAAACAATACGCATCACACAGACATGAGTGTGGATCACTGTGTTCTCTCCGTTATATAATCCTATCCCACTTTCTGAGTGTAATATTCTTGAAATAGTGTAATTTTGGACAGTATCTTTCTTAACCTGCCGCTCAGTAACGGTACTGAATGCAGTCCAGCAGCGATGTTGACCGCCCCAAAATGGCGGCACCGTTGACGTGCCTGGCTGGACCCAACGCGACAGCTAGGCATGTATATCTGTGGTTGAAGTGTTTTAAGTAGAGGACCTAAGCATGTAGCTTTAAAAGTGGAGCGACCCCTACTGGTGGACGTTGGTACTTACATTATGCACATGTTTACCTTAAGCCTTTGGTTCATTGCACGACTTTTAATGTCTGAACAGCTTATAAAGTCTGGGCGTCTCAAACTGTCAGACTGGTTTTTGTAGATTTCTTGGGCGACTGAAATATTGGGGATCCACACTAAACGATTAGGGATCACACACTGCTCAACTTTAAATCTGCGGCTCAACTGAACTCGCGCAAACTCTCGCGTTCTCTCGTTACTGGGAGACCCAAATAAACAAACCTGGAGCAGGTAAACATGATTAAGTGAGTATCGTTGATTTAATATGTACATAAACTCGACTGTGCCTTAAACTCAGCTCATTAAAAAGCTTCGCTCCACAGGTGAGAGACTTTTCTCTATAGGCTACTGTAAGTTAGTCCTCGTTATGCCCATATTAGGAATTCCGGGTCTGAGCTCCATTTCTCTATGGCCAGAATGAATAGGGTTTTCGAAAAATCGCCTCTAGCGCCCCCTGTGTTCAATACAAATGTTCAGAACCCGATACGTTCTGTCCTGTGAACATTCTTCTCCCGAACATCACTGGATCCTCTGAGTTACGAGGTCGTTAAAGAGCTATAATACTAATAT